TTCTTTGACTAGGCCAATAACTAGAAGAGTTTTCCTACATTTTCTTCTAGAATTCTTATGGTTTCATGCCTTACATTTAAGTCTTTTATCCATCTTGAATTAATTTTTGTGAGTAGTGAGAGATATGGATCCTGTTTCATTCTTCTGTGTGTCGCTATCCAATTTTTCCAGCACCATTTATTGAATAGGGCTTCTTTTCCCCAGTGTGTATTATTGTCTGCTTTGTCAAAGATCAGTTGGCTGTATGAGGATGGTTTATATCTAGGTTCTCTGTTCTACTCCACTGGTCTATGTCTCTATTTTTGTGCCAATTACATGCTGCTTTGGTTACTACAGCTTTGTAGTATAGTTTGAAGTCTGGTAATGTGATGCCTCCAGATTTGTTCTTTTTGCTTAAGATTGATTTGGCTATTTGGCCTCTTTTTTAATTTCAAATGAAGTGGACATTTATTTTTTCTAGGTCTGAGCAATATGACTGGTATTCTGATGGGGATTACACTGAATCTGTAAATCACTTTGGGCAGTATGGACATTTTAACAATATTGATTCTACCAATCCATGAGCATGATATGTTTTTCCATTTGTTTGTGTCATCTGCGATTTCTTTCCTCAATGCTTTCATAGTTCTCTTTGCAGAGATCTTTCACCTTCTTGGGTAAGCATATTCCTAAGTATTTTATTTTCTTTGTAGCTATTGTGAATGGTATTGAGTCTTTGATTTGACTCTCAGCTTGACTGTTATTGGTGCATAGGAATGCTACTGATTTGTGTACAATGGCCAATAAACATATGAAAAAATGCTCAACATCACCAATCATCAGCGAAATGCAAATTAAAACCATAATGAGGTATCACCTTACTGCTGCTAGAATGGCTTTTATTAAAAAGTCCAGGCCGGGCGCTGTGGCTCACGCCTGTGATCCTAGCTCTCTGGGAGGCCGAGACGGGCGGATTGTTTGAGCTCAGGAGTTCGAAACCAGCCTGAGCAAGAGTGAGACCTCATCTCTACTAAAATTAGAAAGAAATTAATTGGACAACTAAAAATATATAGAAAAAATTAGCCGGGCATGGTGGTGCATGCCTGTAGTCCCAGCTACTCGGGAGGCTGAGGCAGGAGGATCACTTGAGCCCAGGAGTTTGAGGTTGCTGTGAGCTAGGATGATGCCACGACACTCTAGCCCGGGCAACACAGTGGTGAGACTCTGTCTCAAAAAAAAAAAAAAAAAAAAAGTCCCAAAACACAGCATCACAATAGATGCTGGTGTGGATGTGGTGGGACTGCAAATTAGTAGAACTTCTATGGAAAATAGTATGGAGATTCCTCAAAGAACTAAAAGTAGACCTACCATTCAATCCAGCAATCCCACTACTGGGTATTTACCCAAAGAAAAAGAAGTCATTTTAACAAAAAGACACCTATACTCAAATGTTTATTGCAGCATAATTGCAAAGATGTGGAATCACCCCAAGTGTCCATCAATTCATGAGTGGATGGTATATGTATACCATGGAATACTACTCAGCCATAAAAAAGGACGAATTAATGTCTTTTGCAACAATTTTGATGAACTGGAGACCATTATCCTAAGTGAAGTATGTAAAGAATAGAAAAACAAACACCACATGTACTCACTATTAAACTGGAACTAATCGTTGAGCACACATGTGCACAGAGGGAAGTAAAACTCAGTGGAAATCAAACAGAGGGGAGGAGGGAGGAAGGGATGGGCGAAAACCTACCTAATGGGTACAATGAACACTATCTGGGTGATGGGCACACTTTATAGCCCTGACTCAAACATTACAAAAGTGATTCGTGTAACCAAAAATATTTGTACCCCTATAATATTTTGAAATAAAAAAGAAAAAAATTTAATGAAATAATGGGGAAAAAAAGAAGGACACGGAGGAAAAGAAATTCACCTAAAGAGGAACAAAAATCACATCAGCATCAGCAAAAGGCTGGAGGACCATGGAGCAATATTTTCAACGATTTGAGGAAAAATGACCTTCAGTGTAAAATTTTAAATTCAACCAATATCAATAAAATGTATGGACAGAATAAGAGCACTTTCAAAATGTAAGAATTTAAAAGTACTCTCTCTAAGACAGTTTGTTAAAAGTGGATTCCACTGAAAGGAGAGAATAAACCAAGAAAGAGGAAGACTAAATTAGATTCATTAAAAGTAGCTCTAATTCAGTAAAGAAATAAAGAATATGTTGATCCTTAAAAATATTTTCTATATAGATATGGTACTTATAAGTATCTTTCAGTAAGTAGTACATTGACTATGTGACTTAAAAAGAAAACACGCATTTTAAAATCACTACGTTTTCAGGGAACAAATACAGGTATCTACTAAACTAATTAAACTAATTGAGAACTAAAATTCATTTCAATATTACAGAAATTCTAAAGAATAAAAGAAAGCTCAGTCACATGAAAATCAGGTACTTTGCAAACAGCTTGAGATATTTATCTCTAGTTGTCATAGTCACCTCCTAATCTATAAGACATAGAGGCTTATTATATTTCTGTAAGTTTTCATGACTTTTACAAAAGGAAACTTATAATTCTGTATGTTCTTCCAAGTCTTTCCTATTTCTTTTCCACAATTAGTAAACTGAACTCTTTGCAAATAGGAACACCTACTCAAAAATTAGTTCTAATATTTGGGGAGGAGAAGCTACAAAAACAAAAGACTAAGTTACCTGCGAAAATCACAAAACTGCAATCTGTTATAAATAAATGTTTTAAATGAAAATAAATCTAAGTGCTTTCAATACTCCATTAATATCCAAAGGATTAAAAAATGCAGTTCTTTTTCTTAGAGCAAGTGAAGACTATTTAAAAAATTACAGCTCTTCTAGATTCGTTTTTTTCCATAATTACTCAATTATTCATTAAAATATGTAAGACCTCCATTGGAATCTTTGTAGCATGTTTCATAAATGGATTTAACTATAAAAGCCTAGTTATACAATCTCTTCCATAAAAGCACTATATTTCTGATATTTATATGCTTAGAATATCCTATATTAAAATTAATATTTCTACACAGGAAAAGAAGGAACTACTTAGCCCCAGATAACTTTATAACATCTCTTTCAACTATAGTTATAATTATCATGTATGAACTTCCAAAGTAGAAGTTGTCAAGATTTAACATTAGCATTAATTTATGTCATAACTGACGGTTACTATAAAGATAATGGCAAACCATCCATTTCTCCCAAGACAGCATGGATCGAAAGGGAAATTTCTTCTTAATTACTACTAATCTGTCCATTTTTAATTAAATTGATTAGTAATTTATTATCTTTCCCTTTCTTGCAAGACTATCATTATCACAGAGCTTCTCCAAAGTTATCAAGTTTGTGATTTTTAAAGCAACCCAATTACTTCTAGTGTGAATCTCACCATTTTGTAATATTGGTTTATATTAAAAACTTACTGTCCAATTTCTTTGTAATCTAAAAAAGAAATTTTGAAAATGCAGGATTTGCACTCAGTATTTCACACCTCAAAGTGAACACTGTCAAGATCATAACCGTACTTTTATGGAGAGACAACCATTAAAAGTGAAACTCTTTTAAGCCTTTCCCTTGCTTGATAATCAAAATATTTATTAGCATGTATCTTCTCAGAGAAAGAAACCAGGTTCCTGTGATCTCCTTTGAAAAATATCTACTTTTTATGTTATATATAACTAAACAGTAAATTATGGAACTACTCTAAGGGCTTTTTGTACAGGTTTCTTTTTAAAATAAAAATGAAATGTTTCCATATACAAAATAGGAACTATTTTAATCAAGCAAGTTTTAAAAGAATTTAAGTGCTTTATATATTTTTGAATCAAATCCTTAATATTAAGCTTTGATCTGTACCAAAATTAAAGTACAGCACTGAAGCAATATTTGAGACTAGAAATTTTTATGACACAACTTTTGAAAAAGCTGAACTTCTTTAAAGAGTGAAAAAATAAAATGCAATGTCCCTTCAGAGAGGAAGAGACAGACATCTTCCCACTTTTCCTTGTGCACAAATGTTAAGACATCCAGGAAATATTGGTTTAAAATCCTTGTTTCATCAGATACACCTTAGGTGTGAATTGACGGTAGCTGACTGGATAAAACTTCATACTGAAGACGAAGAGTATTCAAATAATTGACTGTCAATAACAATGAAGAGATAATTGTTCAATAAAAAATCATTTCTATTAATTAAAATTTACTAATTATAGTACCAATTTGATATATGAGTCCCCCACTTTCTCTCCTAAATTTTCTGTCTAGAAAAATAAACAATGAGTGCATAATGGCTGCCAAACTCTTGAATACAGTTACTTAAGTATTTAATTCATACCTCTTCCATCAGATTTAAGCAAGGCTCACTTAGTTTCTCACTTTCTTTAGATCTACTTAATTTTCAAAGTAGTAGAAAGGTCTTACTTGACCACCATACATAGCACCATGCCCATGGCCACCCCCTGCCATCATGTGTTATTCACCTTGACTCTGCTTCATTCTTTCACTTAGTACTCTTTATCATCAAGCATGTTATTTATGTTTATTATCTGTCCTCTTCCAATAGAAAGTGAGCTCCATTAGAATAGACCTTTGTCTCATTTGTTCATAGCCCTATCCCCAGTGCCTAGCAGCGTGTGCCAAACACATAGTAAGCATGTATTTGTTAAAAAAGTATTTTTTAAAAAAATGACAGAATGGCCATCAGCTCCAATATCCCAAGGAAAAGAAAACTCAGTTTAATATCACTTGATAATCCTGGATGCCAAAACATAATGAAAGTCTTATTTTTAAATACCATTTAAAATGAAGAAATGCTAATAGTTTTAGGGTTTTCCTACCCCAAAGGACAAAATATCCTTTTAAAGAATAGTTGGGCTACTAACAGACGTAAATTATCTATTACTAAATAACTCAGTAATTTACTAAATTACACACTCATTCAATATATATAATAGGTTACTCTGCATACCTTAACAAGTTTCAAAAGCTCATAGAGATCTTCAACCTCATCACCTTCACATTTGGTGTACACTCGTCCTATATCCAAGCTCCTTCCTCTTATGGTTCGGCGATAGAGGGGAAGAGCCATCGCTTCTGCATACAAGTCAATGGCATGATGACCCACTGTCTGATACATGTAGCTATCCAGCTCATCAGACCCCACTGCAACAATTAAAGTGGAAATATCAGTAAAACACAATGAAAAAGAAAGTGGATTTCAAAGCCCATCTAGGTTTTACTGCTTGAAGAGTAGTCGATGTTGAACTTAAAAGCTTACTATACTATTAATACATTTCTCTGCATTTATGTAATGAAATAAAATATAAGAATTGCACATTATTTGTAGCTGCATCTAGTTCATATCAGCTCTAATCATCTATATTGACAATTACAAAATACAGTTATATATAAATTTTTAAAAACATTTAAAGAGCAGAGTAATATATCCAATATATTTTGATTGTTCAATTAAAGAATTTTATTACGTAATTTTTTTTTCAAATTATTCAAGGTTATTCATGAAGTCATCTAGACTTGCAGGAAAAAATCTTTCTTAATTAAACATCTACATAGTTAATACATGACAAATATTTGTAAGAAAAATATCTAGATGCTTTGATACATTTTATATTCAGCACTTCAACAAATATATGAACATATAAATTCAATAATGGTAGAGCAGTTACAAATGTGTATAGAAAGAAAACTTATCATTGGTTGTAACAAGATTTCACAAATATCAATATGGGTAAAATATTCAAAACAGATGAGTCACATACCTTTTGGTGATATAAATCAACTTAGAAATATATTGAAATATATTTTTTGAACTCATAATTTTACTTTTTAGAAAAAGAATCATGAATATACACAAAGATTATTTGCAGATATTCATCACATTATTTATAATGATTAAAAATTAAAGTATATTCATATAATAGAATATTATGCAGCCCTTAATATTATTTTGAAGAAGAGCATTTCCTAAAGTATGTTCTTATATGACGGGAATACAAATCCCATAAGATATTAACAGGTATGGGATGAAAAAACAACTCCATGTCAACTAAGTTTATAAAACATGGGGATAAACAATGTTAAATGGGTGTCTTTGCTGCAGTTTTTCCTAGGCTAATATGCTTTTAGGTACTCAAACAAGGGGAGAGAGTAAGAACTACTTCTCAAACTTATCTATCCACAGGACACTTACATTTCGTGTGGGTATTTGTGTTCCAAAGAAAACATATGGGAAATTCGATTGTAGAATAATATTTAGTGACATGGAAAATGTTCATATTATGTTATTTTTGAAAAAGTACACAAAATAATTTGACATATACCTATGTGTGTATGTATGTATATATGCCAAACAGGTCCAAGCTTTCCACTGAATGTGAAAATATCCTATCAAAAGGAATGAAAAATGATAGTACAAATGCCCTTTCAACAATCAAAACCATCAACATATGCCACCCCATTTTATCTCATCAGGTTTCTGAATCCACAAACAGATTGGCTTCCTTCAGAATGGTACTCACATTATTATTATAAATCTCTCTACCCTTGGTCCCCACAGGAAGGAAGTAGACATATAGCCGTTACCTAAAAACCATCAGCCTTCTCTCATCTCAAAGTTTGACAAGATCTTTAAGTGTATTAGCTTTAAAGGATACTGATACAATCTAAGCAATATATTTAAAGAAATTTGGGCTTCTTAGCAAGAAACATCCTGATGTTAGCATAATAATTATTAATAAAACACTTTACTGGCTTCAAAAACCTAGAAGATAATTTTCCTTTAAGGCTCCATTCAGTCCTAACCACAATGTAACTTTTATTAATGGAAGCTACATAGTAACAATGGTGTGAGATCAAATAAAACCAAAAGGCTCCACTGTTGCCTGAAGCACCTCAATTAACATGCCACAAAAGTTCCTATTACAAATTAAAACAGATGGTTTTGTGGATTTTATGGCATGCTCACATTATCCCCATTGATGGGAATAATTTCCTTTCCAGACTACCCATTGAAAATTTAGTGTCCCAAATTCACTCTAACCAACTTTGGTCTACATTGGAGTCATCTCTACCAGTCATTCCCCGCTAACTTTCCTTTTACAGTATGTTTAGGGGGAAAAGACATCACTCAATCAATCATTCATTAATCCCCAACTTCCTGTTGATTTTAAATCAAGATTAGCTAAATCTTTCAATCTACCAACTCACAGCTATCTATTCTCTTCTACAACAATCACTATAGTTTCAGCTGCTTTTTTCTCCACGTTTTATTTCATAATATTCTATTTCTATTTACTATTACATTTTTTTCCCACTAAAAATATTCTAAATAAATGTCTCCATTCCACTGAGAAGTATAATTTAAAGATACACTTTGCTTGTCATTTTACCACCCTGCTGGTGAACCAAGAAGACAAGGAAAAGTATATATTAATGATTCCATACAAGGTAAGTATAATTAACTATTATTATACTTCAGTAGGAAAGCTGAAGATGAGATAGAAACTCCAGGGAGGGAAATTATAATATAGCATATAGGCATTATATATTATATAAACATCTGCTTTTTAAATACCCAAGATTTCTCAAGATAGAAAGCTTAAAAGTCCCACTTGCCTGACTGGCCACAGGGAATAAGGGAGTTTCTTTCCTGTGGTGAGCCTGAAAGGAGATTCTGCTTCTTCTTTTATAATATAGAAGTTACAATACAGTTCCCACTCACCCTTAAAGAGTTTTCCAGACCCAGTGGTGGCTCACACCTGTAACCCTAGCACTCTGGGAGGCCGAGACAGGAGGATGGCTTGACGTCAGGAGTTCGAGACCAGCCTGAGCGAGAGTGAGATCCTATTTCTACCAAAAATCAAAAAAAATTAACCTCTACCAAAAATAGAAAAATTATCTGGGTGTGGTTGCTCTCGCCTGTAGTCCCAGCTACTTGGGAGGCAGAGGCAGGAGGATTGCTTGAGCTCAGGAGTTTGAGGTTGCGGCGAGTTGTGATGGCACCACTGCGCTTTACCCTGGGTGACAGAGTGAGACTCTGTCTCAAAAAAAAAAAAGAGTTTTCCATTTCTTATTTAAAGCCAGAACTAGAAGATCATTTAAAAAAAACTCTTCCCTTCTGAAAAAACAGTTATTACTCATCATCAGAATCGCAGCACAAAATCCTAGCATGTTCATTTACCCCTGTGCCTCTACAGGACCTGTTTCTTTTCTCTCTATAACATACTTCTAACCTCTATCTTTCCACATCACTTCCAGCATTACTTGGCTCTTAATTATAAAAGGAAAGAAAATTCAAATATCTGACTGAAATCACTGCTCACTACTCCAGGGCTAATTCAAGTTAGTTCATTACACATCTGTCTACCAATAAACCTTGAGTGAACTCCTACCAGAGGCATAGAGCTGCCCCAAGTACTGAGGAGCAATTAAAGGAAGACAGAAGATATGATTTCTCCTTTCAAGAAGCCTATAATCCATCTATTTGGGGACATAAAACAAACATAAAATGAATAGAAAACAATTTTAAAATGCTACACAACTAAAAATACAGTAGACTGGTACCCTTGAGGAAGGAATGAAGGAAGAAAAGAAACAAGGAAGGAAGGAAGGGAGGGAAGAGAGAGAAGTGCTGCTAGATTCCAATTCAACTTAATTTATAGGATGCATGTTCATATGAGGAACTATGATTAATGTTTTCACATATACTACTCATTTAATTCATTTTAAAATCATAGTAGTGCAAAAGCATGGAGCCTGGAAAGAAGTAAAGGAGATGATAAAAAGATCTTTCCAGAAGGTTCACGTGTGAAGGAGTAATACATAAAGTTAGGACAAGTGCTAATCTTTGTTCTCTCTTACATTTCAGCAGTTAATATCTACAGTTTTATAGGTATAAAAAAAGAGCATAAAAAGCAAATTGGTGAAAAAAATATATATCTGTTCTAATTGGGGAATTTCATTAGGGGAAAAAAATGAAAAAAGTACTCAAAGTGAAGTCTGTGGATTATATGTGGATGCCCTTGTCACCACAGAGATAGAAAAGTAGCAATGTATTGCTTTGTGCTTCTCACAAGTCTCACATTTTTGGCTTACATCTAGGATAAGTGAACTGCATCCTTTTAATAATAAAATTCATATATCATTTATCAATATATTAATGTGTCTTACTTCCCAAGCTCCTTGAGGCATGAGACTGTATCTTATCTACCTCAATATTGTCTACAACACTTGGAGATATGGTGTGATGGAATGGCAGCTCCAAAGTAAGAGGATTCAAGTCTCAACTCTGCAAGTTTGTGCTAGCTGTTTCACTTCGGACATACATAAGAACTCTGACCTTCGGTATCCCTGTCTATTAAAAGTAAGATTAATAATACCTTTCTTTGAGTTGTTATGAAGTTAAAAGATATGTTAAGTAAAAACAATGCTAACTTCTATAAAGAAGATAGCATCTAATAGGTACTAAATATATATTGGTTCTTTTTTTTTGTCTTTGCATACTGCATATAATAGAATATAATTATTTAATATGAAGTTGGAGTTTCAGTCATGTGGGCAACTTCCCAATAAAGGCATACACTTACCTTGGTTTTCAGCTGGTCTTAGATTTGCTAAAGCAACAATCTGATGCCCAGCAGCAATGCACTGCATCATATTATAACAGCTGTCCTTTCCACCACTAAAAAATAAATTGATAGATAGAAAGATAAATATCAGGCCAGTGACTATTATTCAACATAGAATCACTAGATATCAAAATAAAACACATTATTTAGTCAGCTTTTCAGAATATATGAGGACTGTTTCACAATTAGAATGCAAAAAAATCAGGCTGGATGTGATGGCATGTGTCTATAGCCCTAGCTACTGGGGAAGCTGAGGCAGGGGCATCACTTGAGCCCAGGAGTTAGAGGTTACAGTTAGCTATGATTGCAGGACTGCACTCCAGCCTGGATGACAGAGTGAGATTCTGTCTCTTAAAAAATAAAAATAAAAATAAAAATAAAAAAATTAAATTCTAAATCGTAAGAAAACTGAGTAAATAAATCTGAATGTCTCAGTTTGCTACTCATAAGAGCTTAAGAAATGATATGCCATTATAACAAAGAACAATTCTAATAAACTCTTTGGTTTGTGACAGTGGCTTTACTTAACATACAAAGTGCTTTGCAAATAAAAAATGATTTAAATTTATATCTCAGCTAAATACTTATTATATATGCTCCATAGATGAAATTTTTTTTTTTTATGAAAAAGTAGAAAAACATCCATTCCACTAGAAGAAATCTAACAACTGCCTACCATCAGCAATTAAAGGATCAAATTAAAGATTTGAGTTCCAACCTAATGAAAAAGTTTGACATGCTTGGGGGTTTCCAATACTGTAGAGATAAAAAGCAAAATGTTGAATTACACTGATGAAGTTAAATATCAGTACGATCAGCAATCACCATATATACCTTACATACACACACACACATATACACATATATATACACATCATATATATATGATGGCCTATATATATACGATGGCAGCAGAATAAGGCTTGGGCTGTAAATCTAGTAACATACTGAAAGGAACTTCTAAATTTTGATTCCAAATCTACCTAAGGCAGAAGCATATCACTTAGTCAAGGCAAGTGGCACCTCATCCATAATAAGGTTGAGTGGCAATCTATATGCTATTTTGGTTTAATATTCTACTGCTTCCCACTATACATCTTTCTCTTCTCATTTATTAATATCATTGCCTATTTCTTGTCTCCTTTTTTATTTTTCTTCCTGTTTCCTTTTTTTCTGATCTTTGCTTAAAATCTGCAAATGTAACCCCAGGCAATGTTTAGTTTAGACCTACTCATAGCCCAAGAAACTAAAAGAAGCTGATGACCCCATAAACTGGACCTTTTGCCTTTTATTTTAGTTCTCCACATTCACCTGCCTTTATCACCCTCCCATCAGTTAACAACTCTCATTCCAGAACTTCTCAAGGGAAAGGAGAGTGCAAGCGGCAAAGTGAATTATAAAAAAGCCCATGCTCCCTCTCTCTTCAGATCTGATATTCTTCTAAGTATCTTTCACAACTTCCCCTATTGAACCTCACTACTCTACTTTCCCAGAACAAAAAGATTTGACTAATTCTTTTGAATATTAAACATTGAAAGGCATGCATCCAAGATCAGAACTTATCTTTACAGTTCATTTTAAAATATGCCAATATTTCAAATATGGTTTTAAAGTAGTATTTCCCAAATTGTGTTTTGTGGAACACTAGTGTCCAACAAAATGTTAACCAACTACTTCAAGGACAAAAGGTTTCCAAAGTCAAACAAGCTTAGGAAATGCTGAGTACCTTACTCTCCTCTTAGAACTCCACTGAGTACATAAGTATATGTTAGGTGAGAGGTCCTACAGAAGATGAGAGTTTTAGTTCCCAACTCTGGGATACTAAGTTATTCAATGTGCTTGAGCTTACACACTTCATTATAAAATTAGAGAATGGCCTGCCTAGATAATCCTCAAGGTGTCATTCAACTATAAAATTCAATGACTCACTCGTTTATTTATTAGGAAAACAATGTTCTTATGGTTTAAAGATATGTAAGAACCTCGGTTTCACTTGTTCCTTAAAACACACATATCCCATCTCTCATTGTTGTAGACACACAAATAGCAAATACATTCACTGTGCTCAGGTTTAAATGCTCATTATACACACACACATATATATATATATATAAAATACATGGTTATATATAATACATAATATATACACATATATATATATCACAAGCACATATATATATTATGTTTCATATAGCTTATCTCCTAACATTTATACAGCTCTTACAGTTTAGCAAGAATTTTCCAACATTGCCTTTTTTAGTAAATTACTTTTTTATTATAAAAGTAGTATATGCACATTATAGAGTATTTCATGTAATGGACTGCACCAATCTTCTTTTTCTCCTCCCCTCCTACACTTCTAAATCTTCAGATAGCGTGCATTACTTCAATCGTTAAACTTTTGGCAAACTGAATGTGGATGTGAATTACTCATTTCCTGGGCTACTTCTAATTCTTATCTATCTAGACTAAATGAAAACCACAATGGTTAAAGCTTAATCATTCACTTTACAGAGGAAATTTACTGAATAACAATAATTACTGTGACATTATGGTCCAGTTTCCTAAAAATGGCATTGAAGTAGAAGAAAATGGAATGTTCCGGACACTGCAGAAGGGTTTGGAATGTCATAGCAATAATCCTTAATAGATTAATACTGTCAGCCAGTATCAATTACCGAGGGTATTGAATTAAAACGTTTATGGAATCTTCAATGGGCTTACAAAAGTAAACGCATCGTTGCAGTGTATCTCGGACACTCTACACGGTTCCATGTATCATTAAACAGATATTTAAGTAGTCTAAAGTACCTTTTTAACGTTGTTAGCGTTCCCTTCCCTTTTGCCTTAGTTTCTAGATTGAGTATGAAAACATTTAAGCTGGCCTGTTTTGGGCTTGTCAGTCACAGCACTTATTTAGACACCTAAATAGGACTGGGTTACCACAGATTTCAAACTCCTTTTGGAATAAGAAGTATTTTATCAAAAGGTCACTCTAAAGCAATGAGGAGAGTCCGAAGCAACAGCAACTAGATCTAGCATAAGATTAGTACAATTCCGTCTCCACTACGAGGTAAGAGATTTCCTCTCTGTACTTTAGTTCTAAAGCAGAAACACGGATGCCATAAGCAATCCACATCAGTCTTGCCGAGCCACACACGCGGGACGGAAGATGAGAGAGGGGTGGCCTTCTGAGGAGCGGGCGGGACCAGTAACAGCTAGGGAGGAAGGCAGGACACCCAGGACCCAGCTGACTGAAGGGAACTACACAACAAGACGGAGAACGCAAGGAGAAAGGGCCGAGGGTTATTAACTGAGTAAGTAGAGTCACGGAGTGGCTCTCAAACTTCATGCCCCATTAGAGCTTTTAACAAATGCGAGGCCAGGCCGCACCGGAGTAATTAAACCAACTCCTCTGTCAGTGGGACCCAGATGTCAGTACTTTTTGAAGTTCCCCAAGTGAATCCAATGTGAATCCAAATTTGAAGGCCGGAAGACCAGAAAAGCCGCGACTGACAGAGAAGAGGAGGAGGAGCGCAAGCCCAGGACCAGGAGACAAGCGGACCGGGCAATAGCGTGAAGGCTCCGCCTCTTCCTGTGGCTCTGAGGAGCTGCCGGGCCCCCAACTCTCGGCTCCGGCAGAGACATTCTCCTTTTCGGCGCCAGCGGCTGCAGGAAGGGACGAGAGGCTGGCCGGGAAGGAGGGAGGTGGCTCCGGCGCCCAGTTACCTTATCAGAGCCGCGACCCTCATGCTGGGCGCAGTGCGCGTGCGTGCGGCGGGCGCGGGCGGGAGCCAGGAGGTCGTCGCTGCCGCCGCCGCTCGCGTGACGCGCCGGAGGGCCTTGCCTGGGTGTTCGCTCCGCCGCCTGTCCGCGGAGTGTGCTGTGGCCCCTGTGGCTTCCTGCGGGTCGCCTGGGCGCAGAGGCTACGACACATTGGTGCCTTGCCCCTGTGGCAGGGACATCCGGGCCCAGAAAAGAATGATGTTTAGGCACGGCCTAACCACCTAAGTGAGGGCACTGAAGCTGCCGGGGGAAGGGCAAGGCCCCCGTCACAGAGCCCGGTCCCGGTGGCGCTGGATTTGTTTTGGTAAGAGGAGGCTCAAAGTCACATAAACTGCAAATTGACGCACTTGTGGATGTGCAAAGGGAGAGGAAGGTTGCCCTGCCTCCCTCGCCCATCCCAAGAAACTAACTGTACACTTTAGCTTTTTAATTTATACCTCTGTCCTTCAAACCCGTGAGCCCCTCAGAGGCTGTGATAATTTTTAAATCTGGGGCTGACCTCATGACCTCCAGGCCTTTTGTGGTTTGCGCCCTCTGTCAAATACAGAAGCTGGGAGGCCTATTAAGGTTCATAACCAAAGAGCAGTGATCTTGGAGAAGGAAAACCTAGCTTCTAAGTTCATTCACCAAGTATTTTTTGAGTGCCTTTCATGTACCAAACACTGTTTTAGGATCTTGGGATACAACCATGAATAAAAACAAAGACCACTCCCTTCATGGAGCTTAAATGGGGATGGGGAATGCAGACAATATACAGTTTAAAAATTATGTAGTATATTAAAGAGTGAGAAGTGCTGTGGAAAAAGAAAAAAGATCAAGGGGCATCAGGAGAGGTGGAGGGGAAAATTGCAGAATTAAATAGTGTCAATATAGGCCTTATTGACAAGGTGAAGGTTGAGCCGACTTGAGGAGAATTAGCTGAGTATACAACTGAGGGTGTGCTCCAGGCAGAAGAAGAAACTAATCTACAGCTCTGAGTGCTTTGTGTGTTTGTGGAAGATCAAGGAGGATCAACTTAGCTGCAGCAGAGTAAGTAAGGCAGAGAGTAGTGGGAGATGAGGTTAAGGTGATGGAAGAAGGGGGAAGTCATTTAGGGTCTTGTAGGTCATACAGGCTTTTGAACAGAGGTGTGACTTAAAGGATTACAATGTGCAGTGTTGAGAATGCATCTATTAGGAAGCTACTGCAATAAACCAAGAGAGAGAATGGATCCTAGAACCAGGATGATGAATTTGGTGAGAATTAAGAGGATTCCAGCTCTATAGAGCCAATAGAATTGGATAGTTTAGATATGAGATGTGAGAGAAAGGAAGCCATGAGGGATGATGCCTCTGTCATGAATTAAATAAGTTAATATACGTAAGGGACTTAAAATGATACAGGGTACATAGTAAACATTCAATTTTATTATACTATAATCTCATTAGCTTTAATACTCAGTATGGGTGGCTAGCACAGTGACAGTCTACATATCAGTTTCAGCATCTGTAATCACAGTTTTAAAATTCTTCAATTATGAATATTTACCAAATAAGTCAAGTATTTAAGAAATTTGTGGTCTAGTTAGGAAGATAAATACATTAAACAAACATTCATGATACAGGAGAACGTATTTTGAAAATAACAGCTTATGTAATGCACATGGCAAGGGTCCCATAATTCAAACCCACAGGGTAAAAGCTAGAATAAGGATGGGACTTGAAAGATGAGCAGAATTGAACAGGAGGAGTAGGTGGACCTGCTAAACAAAGGCAGCCAGACAGGAATGAATGTGGTGTGTTTAAAAGCAGTGGGGAGACTAAACTGACAATTTGGGAGGGTATGTTGGAAAGAGGAGAAAATAAGTTGGAGGAATAGGAGGATGAGGCCAGGTTATCCAGGTCATGGAAACCCAAAATGCAGAATTTCAACACCGGACGAGTTACTCTGGCTTTTTACCATCATTTTTCAGGAGATTGTGTGAATTAGCAGTAATTAACATGGTAAATGACTCTGATAAAACAGATACTCCCAAAGATGCCTCTTATGTTTTCCGCTAATGGATATCTTTCCCTTGCCAATTCCCAAGAGATATAGGGAGAAGAGGTTCTAAGGTTATATTCCTAAAACTATATCCTTAGGGTTGTGATATTTTTGTTTCTCTCCAGTAACTGGGCTCTGTAAGCTTCATTTTAAGACATCCTCAACAAACAAGTTTATTACAGTGTATATATCCTGGGGTTAAACTGTATATTAGAAAATATGTTGAGGCCATTCCCCAAGGTCACCCGGTTTATAGCTTGATAATATTGCTCTCTCCCTCTGGATTCATCCTAGCACCTTTGTATTAAGTATCTCTCCTCCAGGTCCTTGTTACCCCCTGTGAAAAAACTTCTCTCAGTACCTATTCCCTCTTTTTAAAAGCTGTCTACCTGAATTCTGTCAATTGATGAATTTTTCTGGTTGCCTGATGTAACACTGCTATATGTGTTGTCTCCTCTTAAAAACTTTTGTATTTCCTCACATCAGTGCCTTTCTCTCAGAATTACCATGCAAGGCTTTGTGCTTGAATGTACCATCAAAGCCACCATAAAACTTGAAGTTAACATGCATTAGATTGGTCTTGACCTAGCCATCAGAGTTATTGTTAGATGCGTACATATTTTTGGAGGAGTTTCTCAAGAATGAGGGGACTTCAAAAAGTTCATGGAAAATAGAATTTAAAGATAAAAATAAAAAATATAAACTATCTCTCAACATAGGCTTCGTCAAGGTCAAGATGCATTTTTGTAAGTGATAATACCAGTTATTTAGTCCATCCCTAAAAAACTAAGGGTCCTGGGAATTTAACCATGTCAATGCACTCTTTTTTACCTTATTAGATGAATTAAAATGAGTGCCTTTTAAAGATTTTTTTAAGACTAGAAAACAAAAAAAAGTCAGAAGAAACCAAATCAGGACTGTGAGGTAGATGCCTAATGATTTCCCATTAAAACTCTCAAGATATTGCCCTTGTTTGATGAGGAATGATCAGGAGCATTGTTGTGGTGGTGAAGGACTCTCTGGTGAAGATTTCCTGAGCATTTTTCTACTAAAGCTTTAGCTAACTTTCTCAAAACATTTTCATAATAAGCAAGTGTTACTGTTCTTTTGGCCCTTCAGAAAGTCAACAAGCAAAATGCCCTGAGCAGCCCAAAGAAAAAAATTTTTTTTGCTTTTGACCAATCCACTTTTGCTTTGGCTATACCACTTCCATCTTTTGGTAACCATTGCTTTGGTTGTGTTTTGTCTTTAGGATAATACTGGTAAAGCCATGTTTCATCTTCTGTTGCAGTTCTTCCAAGAAATGTTTCAGGATCTTGATCACTCTTGTTCAAAATTTTCATTGAATGCCCTGCTCTTGTTTGCAGGTGATCTGGGCACAACAGTTTTGGCACCGTGGAGTGGAAAGTTTGCTGAACTTTAATTTTTCAGTCAGAATTGTGTAAGCTGAACCAATTGAGATGTCTATAGTGTTGGATATTGTTTCTGCAGTTAATCATTGGTACTTTTCAATAGGGCATGGACGAGATGAATTTTTTTCCTTACAAATTGATGTGGATGGTCTGCTGCTTCAGGCTTCATCTTCAACATTGTCTCATCCCTTCTTAAAATGAGTTATTCATTTGTAAATTGATGATTTCTTTTGGCCATTGTGCCCATAAACTTTTTGTAAAACATCAATGATTTCACCATTCTTCCACCCAAGCTTCACCATAAATTTAATCTTTGTTCTTGCTTCAATTTTAGCGGGATTCATATTGCTTTGATAGGGGCTCTTTCCAAACTGATGTCTTATCTTTATTAGGGCCTCAGCTAGATCCTGTTCAGACATGTTATAAAAAGTTAGTACAAGTTTATTTTGGTGCAAAAATTTTTTGAGACCTTGTGTAGTTTTTTTATAATATGTATTTTCTATGCAATTTTTGAAGACCCCTCATAGCTGACTGAACAAAACCATAGCAATTCTTTAGTCCTGAAAAAGGTCTGTTAGAAACTAAAGGTTAAGGTATGTTACAACTTTTCCCATGTGCATCTTTCTTAAATCATTCTAATCACCTGTGGCTGTCATTTTCTTTTGCTGAAATTTGGAAATAACACCCAGTGTGTTTGTTACAAGTTTCTGAGAAGCAGGTGCTAAAGCAGCATTCGATGTGCAAGAGATTGATTAGAGAAAATGCCTATGAAGGATAAACAGAGAAGGAGGAGAAGGCAAGAAGACTCCGATTGGAATGCAGGCTAAAACATGAAAAAGCAGAAAAGGAAGGAAGTGTGAGTAGAAAGAGTCCCAGTTTACAGTGCAGTTCTGAGAGTCCCAGCCAGATCAATGAGGAGTCCTAAGCCAAAGTTATCCTGCCCAAATTGGACAGGAATGGTGCAGTTCTAGTATCTTTGCTGTGCTTAGTCATTGTCTGAGAGCAAAAAAGCTTAGTCTGGTGTAAACTTAGTGGTGCATCCAAAAGTACAGCAGCTGGAGACTATAAATCAGTTCATAATAGCATTCATGGTGTAGCTTCTCCATGATTTCTGTAAATGCCTCTTCCTAAGGCTAAGCTTAGAAAAGGAAGGTTAACAGGATGAACTATGGTCCCTGTCATTGCAGTTGGTCTTGGAATACACTGGTATTTATCCTGTCTGCACTATCCACTCTGTATTTCTCTCATTCTTGGTTATTATTTCAGTAGATATTGTCAAGTTACATGGTGCTATGACCTAAACATTCATTCCTAAGGGGTCTTAGGCCTTGGTCATCATACTTTTCTCAGTCGGAGGTTGCTATCTGTGTCCATTCACAGTTAAAACTGGGTAAGGGATTACCAAGGGTCACCCAAGTGGATCACCTGGGTTCCATGTGTACTTCTCTTTCTCCCCAATGTGTAAAAGCACCCCAACCTCCTCATACTAATCAATTATCCTTGCTTGCTAGACCCTGGGTACAAAGAGCCAAAAGTGTCCTACTACTATACACAGCTTATCATTCGATGGATCCCTGCTCTGTCCCCTTGCAAGAGAGAAAACCCTTTAAAGACCA